ACAAACTTGAGGAAATCAGAATCATATAAGTACATCAAGTTTCATAGAGCCAAAACATTTCAAGTGCTACTCAACTGGCTTTAGGTAAGCCAGTCCTTTATTAGTATATAAGTGCTTTGTTAGCAATTATTTGTTAGTAATTCTATCGCACAAATTGGAGGTGAAAGAGATGAGTTTTCAGTCTCCCCCGGAAGATGTGTAAGCTTTCTGCTGTCCTGATTTCAATGGGGAGCTCATTCCACCATTTTGGAGCCAGGATAGCAAACCCACTTGTTTTTGCTGATGGGAACTTGGGTCCCCCTCGCAGCGAGGGTGCAGCGAGCTGTTTGGCTGATGCAGAGCGGAGTGCACGCGCTGGGGTGTACAGTTTAACCATGTCCTGGATGTAGGAAGGGCCAGATCCATTCGCAGCATGGTAAGCAAGTACCATTGTCTTGAAGTGGATTCTAGCAGTTACTGGAAGCCAGTGAAGGGAGCGGAGGAGCGGAGTGGTGTGGGAACATTTAGGAAGGTTGCATTCTGGATGAGCTGCAGAGGTCGGATGGCACATGCAGGTAGACCAGCCAGGAGGGAGTTGCAGTAGTCTAGGCGTGAGATGACGAGAACCTGCGTTGCTTTCTGGGTCAGCTGGGGACGTATCCTCCTGATGTTGTAAAGTGTGTATCTGCAGCAGCGGGTTGTTGCAGCGATGCTTGCAGTGCAGGACAGTTTGTTATCTAGGGTCACACCCAGATTCCTTGCAGTCTGAGTCGGGGTAACAACAAAGGGGCCGATGTTGATTGTTAGGTCAAGAGTGGGACAATCTTTTCCCGGAAGGAAAAGCAGTTCAGTCTTGTCAAGGTTGAGCTTGAGGTGCAGTGGCGCCAGCAGGGGGGGCCAAGGGGGGCCATGGCCACCCTGATATATTTGTTGGCCCCCCCACTGGCCCCGCCAGTCACGTATGCGTAGTAGTTTATCTGATATTTAACAACAGATACACAGCCAGCGAGTCGCTTGATTTGAGCTTCCAACGCTCATACTGCAGCCCCTCCGTCTCCCACTGCTACCATGGTAACACTCTGATTCTCGGCGCACCACTCTCTGAGATTCGCACAGACAGCAGCAGGTTGCAGCAAAACGTTTCTTTCTACTGACTGGACAGGAGTTGACAAACATCCACCAGAATTCTAGAAGGTAAGTCGTATACGTCCGTTGCCTGTTAAGCCCCACAACACTTTAGGCTTTAGTGTGTTAGCTTTAGGTAGCAAAACACGGAGATATGCTTACCTTTAGCTGTTATTCTGATCAAAATGTGTGTTCAATGGCATTAAAACGAGAAAAACGCTGGAAGATCTGGAAAACAGGCTCGGGGCTCAGTAAAGGCTTGCTTGACTTCAGGTATAATTTGTCTGTAAACACACTTTGGCAGCTATCCTAGTTAGCGTTAGTTTAGCTTGCTAAGCTAACGTTAGCTGATGTTGGTATGCTGGGCTGGTGTAATGCGTAGGCTACTATTAATCACTGCTGTGTGTAATGTCAATTTGCAGAAAATGAAGAGAAAGTCAACAGACATCTCTTCTTATTTTAAGAAGAAGATGAGTAAAGGAGAGACAGAGCTGGCAGGGGAGCAGCAGCATAGGACTAGTGAGGAGATGGCCATACATGCTAGAAAGTACATGTGGAACTCTGTTTTGTAAAGGTGAAACTAAAACCAAGTACAGTTTTATTAATGTGATTGTGACCTTTTTAATCATTTAAGTCTTCTACACACTTTAGCTCTGCAGCTCCTTCAAAATTAAACGAGAATCTATGCAGTTTTTCCTCTTCTGTGTTCTGAGGTTAGGACCCGACCATTAGTCAAGTTTGTTTTCATAATGTTCTGTATGCTAATTAAAACAAGGGTAACCAGTTTGTTTATAAATATACATTTTCAAAACAAATGGAATACAAGCTATATGTATTACTCTCACCACAGTGGCCTAATCTAAAAAAATAGAAATATGTCTCGTCACCTATTTTCTGTCTAATACTAAAAGGTGGTTTTTTGTATAATTTATAATGTTTTGAATTTGCTATAAAGGTCAATAATAGATGGTGTTTTTGAGTTCAATCACAGTATTTATTTACCATTTTATACCCCTTTTTGGGTCCTGTTGAAATAAAATAGTCATGTTTTAAAACTTGATTTAATAAAGTCATGTCAATCATCTTTGATCCCAGTGTGACACAAACAGCTTTGTTCAGTCTAAAACAATATATAACCTAGAGACGTAATATAACTGAAGAACATGTTGTGTATTGTATGTGTTGAGAATGCTGAACATTTTGTGCCTTACAATAAAGGAACTTATTTAAATTAAGATGTATTTGTCTTTTTAAAAGGAAAGAACAACTAGCATATATACAAAACAATAAATCACACATGTATGCATAACACAAAACAAGGTTCTTTTAAATGTTGTTTGAAGTAAAATGTTAACTATCCATATTATATTCACTTCAGATGAATAGTATCAGAAAATGTAAAATAAGAAACCAAAGTATATCAGTAGGTGATTCTCTTTGCCATTGTTTTCATCTAGTCTATACTTTTACAACAATTAAATTCTTGGTTTTGGTGGGCCACACCAAGATTTTCAGTGGCCCCATTTGGCCACCCCTATGAAACATTTCTGGAGGCACCACTGTTGAAGTGGTGAGCAGACATCCACTGAGAGATGTCAGCTAGACAAGCAGAGATGCGTGCGACGACCTGGGTCTCTGAGCAGGGAAAGGACAGAATTAATTGGGTGTCGTCAGCGTAGCAGTGGTATGAAAAACCATGCAGGCTAATGACAGATCCGAGCGAGTTTGTGTACAGGGAGAAGAGGAGGGGACCAAGAACAGAGCCCTGTGGGACCCCTGTAGTTAATTGACAAGGGTGGGACTCAGACCCTCTCCAAGTCACCCTGTAGGTACGGTCTTTGAGGTATGAGGTGAGGAGGGAAAGTGCATAGCCTGAAACTCCAAGTTCTTAGAGAGTGCGAAGGAGGATCTGATGGTTCACCGTGTCGAATGCAGCAGACAGGTCCAGAAGGATGATGACAGAGGAGAGGGAGGCTGCTTTAGCAGTGTGCAGTTCCTCCGTGACAGCAATGAGAGCAGTTTCTGTGGAGTGACCTTCCTTGAAACCAGACTGGTGTGGATCCAGAAGTTTGTTCTGATGGAGATAACAGGAGAGTTGTTTAAAGACAGCGCGTTCAAGTGTTTTAGAAAGGAACGGGAGGAGAGAGACAGGCCTGTAGTTTATAACATCAGACGGGTTGAGAGTGGGTTTCTTTAGGAGAGGGTTTACTCTTGCCTCCTTGAGACTGTTTGGAAAGTGACCAGAAGTTAAGAAGTGTTGATGAAATGGGTGAGAAACAGTAGAATATCAGGAGCGATAGTCTGAAGGAGGTTTGAAGGGATAGGGTCCAGAGGACAGGTGGTAGGACGGGCAGAGGTAATGAGGGTAAGAACCTCACTTGGAGAGAGAGGGGAAAAAGAGGCCACATGTTATTTCTTAACTGCTGTATAGAGAATAAAGAAATGGTAATAGTTATTAATAAAGACTTTCCACAATTGTTAAATTCTGTCTTATATCATTATTACTTTGCAGTGTCCTGATTTCATTTGATGGTTGTCTCCTCCCGGATTTTAAACCAAAGAAAATAGCGGCTCGAAAGGAAAAAAATTGTTGGTCAAAACAGTTGACCAAAATGTGTTTTTAAAAACATCTGAGGCTAGAAATAATCCAAGCAGTTGATCATGTGACTTTTTATATTTTAACAAAGGTGCTTTTTGGGGGGAGTTTCATTTAATTTTTTTATTTTTAGTGCCACAAAGACGGACAGAAAAATGCAAATGTAAATGCAGTGTCAGCCCGGCAGTGTTTGAAACAGCCCACCTGAGGACTTGTCTCTGAACAGATAGCTTGATAATAAACTAATTATGATACAGTCAGACGTGTCAGCAGCCGTGCGCTTGTCACCTGATTTAATCTCGACTCAGAGATGCTCTACTTCAATTGCAAGGGAGATCGAAGCCTGTGCTATGGTGTTTATATAGTGTGTGTTCATGTGGAGAACAGTTCAATCCGAAAAATCCCTACATACAATAGCAAACTGGTTGACATATTTCCGTAGTCCAGTCAGTCAGTATGATTAGTGATTTAAGATGAAATCTGTCTCAGCAGATGGAAAATAACTTATTCTGTTTGTACAAGATTAATGGATCCTCTACTTAACCCTCCTGTTGTCTTTGGGTCAAATCTGACCGATGTACTACTTTCATCAATCATAACTTTTTTGTTTTACATTCGATTGCATTAAGGCTTTATGATGTCCTTCACAGTAAACATTTGAACATATACAATTGCTGATCACCACTTTCATTGCATTTTGGATGATTTCGTCAAATTTGTAACACCCATGGTGTTCCCGGTCAAAAATGACCGCCACAAAGAAAAGGAATAAGTAACCATCCGGATCAGATAAAAAACACACACAAACATACTCTAGATATGTGTGTGTCCCCTTATGTGCCCCTCCCCCCACATGGATCACACCTGGCACACGCAATACATGTTCAGTGTCTATTCTTTGTATATGTACTGCAGTTTTTCATGTATACCAGTAGTCTGATACAATATTTACAGTTTGAAAGGGTGTTAAATGAAATTTGGTGATGATTAATGGTTTTTGTGTTAATGTAATGGCAGTTAAAACAGGACCAGTCAAATTTGACCGTGAACACCAAAGTAAGGGGGGGAAAACGAAGGCAATAGGAGGGTCTAAGCCAGGGGTACTCAAATACAAATCTTAAAGGTCCACAAAGAAAATGTTCAATAAGACAAAAGTCCGTTTAATACGGTCATTCAAACTTTTAATTGCAAAAAGATTCTGAACACGAGGTTGCAAAAACAAAAAGCCTCGAAGTGAATCAAACCATCCCAAGAATCAAAGTCGAAATAAGTCCAGAACTATTGTACATTGTGTCAAACACTGTTGCTTAATGAGAGAAGTGGCACCTTTGGTCTGTTGCCAAGACTTTGAACTTTGGCACAAAAGGCGTGATGGCCAGGCGGACACACTGATGCAAGTGTTCATTGGTGAGTCGGCTGCGGTACTTGTTCTTCACCATGTTCATTGTTGAGAATGCAGACTCACACCTGTAGGTTGAGCCAAACATTGTGAGAATGTGAAGTGCCATCTTATGCAGGAGAGGGAAATTAGCTGCAGTGACCATCTTTGTCCAGAAGTTGGGAGTGTCACAGTCAGCCTCTTTCAGTGCAAGGTTTTCCTGGAGGTCAATCAACTCACTTTGCAGAGAAGCAGCACTGGCCCATGGGAAGATTTGTTGTGCTTCTGCAGAGAATTCTCTGACATTTCTGACCAGGAATGGGTTTTCAATGAACAGTAGGACTTGTTTTCCTAATCTGAAGTCATCAAAGCGAATTTTGAAGTTTTCAATCAGCTTCTCCAGGAATGCAACATGATTCTGAGGACGATTTTCTCCTTTGGTCTGTTCCAAAAGTGTGGGGAAGTGGAGCAGTCCCTCCTGTAGAAAAACATAACAAAACAAATAAGAAAATTATATAAGGAGCAGTGGCGAGCCGTCAGGGCCCTCTAGGCCCTCTGTGAGGGCCTAAGATATTCTAAAAAATAATATTTGAAAACATTTTTTCTTAAAAACGTTTTATTTTTATTTTATTTAAAATATGTTTTTGTTGTTACATTTTTCATTAGTTTTACCAAAATAACTTGATTTAATTGTATTTAAAATAATATTTCCAAAGAAATAAATCCTTCGAATCTGCCTGTTCAGTTTCTGTTGGAATGTGAAGGGTTAAATGCCGTCTCTGCGACTTATGTGAAGACGGGAGGGCTTGTTGGTCCCTCTCTACATTCACAGAGGGCCAGCTATAGTAACTCAACGAGAGAGTAATGTCAAATGACAGTACAATTGACCAATCATATCTTTCCTCTAAATGGGCGGGCTTTATTTTCGCGGACTTTATGACAAGTCCGCCCGCTGTGAGGTCTATGCAAGTGGTGCAGTGACGCATCCTAAAACCCGGAAGTAAGCTTGGCTCGGATTCCCTCGACAGAAAGCAACGGGATTTCTGGAAAATAGCTCGAAATAAGGTCTGTGGAAAACGAACCTGTTAGATAAATGCACGTTTTGTTCAGCCGGATAATATCCACATGTCTACCCTACTTTTATTATTTTCGATATATCGATAGATTTATGATGGATAGATTTATAATTAGCATAAGTTCGTTCATGATGGCTCACTTCAGTGATAGTGAGGACATCGTTGCGAAATTATTAACCGAGTCATTTTCAAGATTGAATTACAATGATAAACTGGAGTGGCAAAGGATCAGCTGCATGACCCGCAAGTGCTTCATCCAAAAGGACAGGAGGATGGACTTTGTGTTTAAGTGATTTGATCATCAAAGGTAGGCCTAAGTCATGTTCAATGTGGGCAGCCGTGCCGACTTCATTCATTTGTAATTGTTACTTGTCTGTGAGTGCCCTGTCATGATAGGTGTTTATATAAATGGTGTTGTTTTGTGTGGTAGAGGGTCGCTGTCATTGATGCGTTTTGCACCCCGGGCCGCTGTTTTGATATTCCGCTGAAGTATACGCTGTGACGTAATAACTCTTCTTTTTTTTCTCGAGGGAGGGGGGGGTCAGAGGGCCTAGGTATAAAAGTCACGGCTCGCCACTGATAAGGAGCACTGCTTAAAAGGGTATGATAAAGTATCAAAAAGGTGTTCATTGGAATCCAGGAAATGTGTGTGGTAGAAAATATTAAAAAGGCTTACCTGTAGGTCACTTTTGAAAACCTCCAGTTTCCTCTGGAAAGCACGCACTGCTGACATCAGCTCACACACTGTGTTGTTCTTGCCCTGTAGCTTGAGATTTAGGTCATTGAGATGAGATGTTATATCAGCCAAAAATGCAACAGCTTCCATCTTCTCTTCATTTTGCATGAATTCCATGAACTGTTTTGCTTTCGCACTCTTTTGCTCTGACAGAAACACTTGCAGCTCTTTCCTAATGGCCCAAAAACGCTCCAGGACCTTGCCTTTGCTCAGCCATCTGATGTTGTTGTGCAGGAGCAAATCATCAAAAGTGGCATTGACCTCTGTCAGGAATGTGCGCAGCAAGCGATGCTGCAGTGAAGATGATGCTCTCAAAAATTGTATGAGTCTCATCACTGTTGCCATGATTTCAGAGTACACTTCTCCAAGATTTGCACAAAGGACAGACTGGTGGATTATGCAGTGGTATGAGATCAGGTCAGGGTGGTGATCTTTCAGGCGCTGAACCAGTCCTCTCTCTCTCCCCATCATGGCTGGAGCTCCATCAGTAGCAATTGACACCACTTTCTTTAGATCTATCCCTCTTTCATTCAGCATTCCCATGATTGCGTTATAAATGTCTTCCCCCCCCCCTTGTGTGTCAACTGAGGTTCGTCAGGCCCAACACATCTTCAACAAACTCCCCCTTTGCCTCATCATAAAATCGCACAAACACCAGCAACTGAGCATTGTCAGTGGTGTCAGTGGACTCATCCACAGCTAAGGAAATGCACTGTGCATTTTTTATTCCATCACAAAGCTGATGAATCAAATCACCAGCCAGTATTTCCGTTCTTCTGGTTGCTGTGGAATCTGAGAGGGGGATTTGCTTGATTTGACCTGTTATTTCCTCTTTTTGTTTGCCTTCAAACAAGGTCTCAATCACTTCAGTCATGCATTCTTTAATTATTTCTGCATCAGAGAATGGCTTCTTGTGTTTAGCCAACACCCATGCCACTCTGAGTGAGGTCTCAGTTGCCTTTTCTCGTTGTGACATAGATGTTACAAGAATCCTGCTTGCAGCTTGATATGAGGATTTCATCCCATTTATTTTTGTGGTTCTTACCGCTGAATTCTGAGGGAAGGTCGCTTCAAAATAATCGTGTTTCGTTTCATAATGCCGTTTCAAATTGCCACTCTTCACAAGAGCTACCGTTTCTTGGCATATTAGGCACATTGGTTTGGTGCTCGCTGGAGGGAGGATGAACGCATATCTTTCAGTCCACTCATCTTTGAATTGCCGGTTTTCACTGTCGACTTTTCTTTTATTGGTCATCTTTGAACATGCCATTTTTCCAGCTTTACTAACTACACTCGGCTACAGCTGAAACTAAGTATAGCTACATGCAACTAGATGCGCTGTCAACTCTCGCTCTGACTTTATTTATTTGTTATTATAACTCCCGCGCTGACTCAGACAGGTTGAAAGAGACGACATACGCATTTTCATTCCGCGAAGACCCGCCCTCCTGTGCCTCTGATTGGCAGACTGTTGGTGGGGGGAAAAAACGCTGACTTGCTACTGAATGTGATTGGACCAAAGCGTTGACACACACAGGTGGAACACAGTGGAACAGTCAGACATGCAGAGCGCTGTTTGCAGTGGACATAGCGGAGAATTTTGACTCGTTGCGAATGCGTTGTGGCGATGTCTCACATATAATACAGAGAGATAATACATATGAAAAGTATAATTTGCTCAGAGTCCGGAGACAGTGGTGGTTCGGTCCGGATCCGGACCGGAGTCCGTAGTTTGAGGATGCCTGGTCTAAGCATATATTTCATCAATTATCCAACCATAAAGCATTCATACCCACTACTTTATTAAGGCCTTCCCTTTTTTATGTTGGGTTATTGGTCGTTAGTCAATGTGGGCCTGTTCTTGTTTTACATAAATGTGAAACTTTACAGAAACCTGACACCCTGACTGTCTGCTGCCTGTCCTGGTTGAGAGTTTGGCGATGTGTGGTCAGTCCAACAAATCCTTTACAACTTTGCCTTATTTGCATCCATTTCTTTGACATAAAACATAGTACTTGCTAAAATGACCGACAATATAGTCAAAATATGAGCGGTATCTTTTTGATTGATGCTGGGAACTGGAAGCTTTGCTTGAACTGTAGTGTGGCCATGTTTTGGTACATCTATGTGCTTGCTCAAAGAAATATACAGCATCTACATAGCAGCCAATGATGATTCAGCTCTGAACTTGCCTTAGTGCAGAGGTAAGGCATTAGCAAAACAAAAAGTTTTCCTAAAGCTGGATTGAAGTATATTTATTTTTAAACACGAGTTATCTGTTCATTTAGTGTTGTTGCCTATAACTATGACATTATGCATGTCATTGAGAGCATTACATGTGTTTAATGTGTGTCCCTTCTCGTAAAACATTTGCAAAGAGGATAATTGTTGGTGCATTACCGCAGGTCTTGGCATGTTACCGCCACCTGTTGATCAGTGAATATTGGGACACCATTGATAGAACTTTGTATGGTGTCACAACTTCCACGTTTGTGTATCCTTTTGTGTCTGCATGAGATCAATAAAAAAGACCACATTTAGGTCCAAAAGGACTTCCATAGTTCTTGTTTAGCTCAAAACCAACATTTAAGGTACTGGTAATTCAAAGCAATCTATTGCTGCTCTTAAAATCTTTGAAAATGCTAATTGCTACAACTTCCTGTATTTAAACTTGCTTTTGTATACGAAAAAAAATGTTTCCGTAATGATCAGTTTGAAATATTTGAGGGAGGGTTGACAGACAGAAGCAGTAGTTAGAGAATGTGCTACGACTGTGGTTTGCAGGTACACGTCATACTTGGTCCAGATTCCATGCTGTGCCTTATGTGTTCATAGACACAATGTGGAAATTGTAATAACAGCATTGTTTGTGGTCATTGTAAATAAAAAAACAAGCTCAATGCAAGTATGTGAATAATCAATTTGTTCCTCAATACATATACTGTCGATAGTTAAACTGAGTATAGAAGTACTCTCAATGATAAGCATAATGACATTACTCACTTTTCCCACCTTATCCTAACTCCTGTAACAGAGAGTGATTTTCAATCACAGATGCCGACAGCAGTGCTCGGCATGGCTCCAAGGCTTCTCCTCAACATATACCTCATTCACACCAACGGTGTTTCAGGGCCGGTTCGGAGCTGGAGCTTGAAAAGCACCGGCTTTTCCTGTTCACACCGCAGCGGAGCAGCCGCTTAGCTCTGGAATCTGGTTAGTTTCAAGCACCAAAAAATTGTCCGGCTGGAGCAAAAGCACAACATACGTCACGCTTACGTCGAGGCGGGGGCAGAGACAGATCAACTCCTGAACAACAACAAAAAGCCGGCGTTTTATCCAGTTTGTACACAACGATGGAGAAACTTAACAAGCAGCAGTGGTCCACTGAAGAGATCAGCTACCTACTGGGAATCTGGTCTTCCGAAGAGGTACAGAGGAAGCTGGAGCACAATCGGCCATTGTTGTTGTTGTCGGTGTCAGCTGTGAGGGGTTTCCGCGCGGTTTGGCTTTATGAAGCAGGCACGCAAACGGTTACGTCATGACGCAAACGATGACGCAGCACCAGTCGGACTCTGGGCGGTGTGAAAAGAGCCGGAGCTAAACCGAAGAACCGGTTATGAACCTGAAAAGCTCTAGCACGGAGCTTGAACCGGAGTTGCGTTGGGGGGAATGAGGTAATAGAGTCTTAATCCCATAGATTCCAGTGTGATGGCGACGAAGAACCTCTCTGCAGCCGGTGAGATCCCGTGCATGCCGATCTGTTCTCCCCACAGGGTCTCTCAGCAGAGCTCATTTAGCAGCCTGATGCTTTGTAATTAAAGGTATGGCTGGATAGCATTACCGGTGCCCAATTAGTTCCTGTTTTCTATTGGAGGAGCTGCTAATGAGTCAATCAGTCTCCTGTGAGGGACAGGGTGCGGTTCTGTTGTGGGGATAAGTGTATGCCAGATGTTTGTTGACATGGAGTGAAGAGGATGTTTGCATGTATGCATGTCTGTGTGTGTTTGGTAATATCCAGTCACTTTCACAGTTAAATCCAGTAGCTTAGCCAACCTGTTACAGGAGCTTATAGCATATTCAGCAGAGATAAGACCTCTACCTCTGCTTTCAGTATGGCAAAGAACAAAGACCAATTGCAAAGGCAAGAGGTAACAAAAAGAAGGGGATAAACAACAATCGTGAAAGGTAATAGATGTTTGCCCAGCACAAGTTACAATGATAGTGTGTTGTACGAAACATTTGGTTAGGATGTTTCAAGAAAGAATGTTACCAATGAACCAAATTTGTTCTGGCAGAAATGTCTGTTTCCCTTACAATACAATACAGCTTTATCTATAGAGCACTTTAAACCTCCAGACCAAAGTGCTGTACAGTCAAATAAACAAAAAACAACACAGCACAGCTCACACACTGTAAAACAAGTACAAGTAAAAACAATAGACAATTTAAAAGCAATAAAAGCAACGCTCTAAAAGATGTTAATATGCTAAGGAGAAGAGGTGGCTTTTAAGAAGCGATTTAAAAACAGGCAGTGTGGAGGCCTGTCTGATATGCAGGGGCAGATCGTTCCACAGTGTGGGAGCCGCTACGGAGAAGCAACGGCCCCCTCTGAGCTTTGACTTGGTTCTGGGCACGTTCAGGAGCAGTTGATCAGCTGACCTGAGAGGGCGGTTGGGCGTGTAAGGGTGTAGCCGCTCAGAAAGATATGGTGGGGTCATGCCATTTAGGGATTTCTGCTTTGGACAGATTTTTAGCAGCCTATCAATCACAACCATTTATCTGCAATGGCTGCATTTAACTGTACAGTTGAGCACTATTGAAGCTTTTTAAAAACAACCAAGATGGCTGCGGCCGATGTGGGGCTGCTGAAACAGCTATGACGTTAGTATTGAATTACTTGGATGGTATATTTTCACCAGAAGAAGGATCGGATGCCCTTTAATGCTGAACTCTAACCTAATAGCTGTTTCCCTCAATCCCTTTCTTTGTGTTCATTCTCTATTCTATACAAGTTGAGAACATTGACACCCCAAGGGGGGAGGTGGGGGCATACGCAACTTTTGTAGTGAGTGCAGTGATTATCTATTATTTTTAAGGTGACCCGGAAGTTAGAATCGATAGAGCTCCCTCGACAAAAAGCGATG